AACAAGAGGTCAAGCACCGCTGTGGCTGCTGCAAGTCCCACTAGAGCAACAATCAGGAGCCATTACACCCCTTCCCTGCAGCCACCAAAGAATTTAGCTGATAAGCAAGATGCTGAAGGGATTCAGTGCTAATAAAAAAGTATGCTGAGCCCTCAGCTTCATGGACTCAAAGAAGCACCTGGAAGAGGGTCTAAGGGTTAGGCCCCTTGGGACAGGTCCTGGAGACAAACAACTAGCAATTAATTTCAGGTCTCCTAATTGTTTCATCTCAAGACAGCTCTGAATTTGCTTACATTAGCTGAGTTGCCAGGAGGCAGGAACAGTGACTGAGCCTTATGTGGGGAGAGGAAGATTTTTGTCCCAGCCCACATTTCTGATTGAGAGATAGAAAGCCTTCTCCCGACAGGTGCAGGTCCCTCAGACTCCTACCCTGTCTGGACTGATCCTGGGTGGATCTCAGATGGGCAGGCTCATGGTGCAGCCTGGGGACTGCTGGCTAATGCCAGCTGAAGAGTAGAGTTGGTATCTAGGGAAGGGATAAGTGGGAGAAAGGCCAGACCCCAAGGAGGGAGTCGAGAACAATGCAAGGAACAACTACTTTCACATGAGAAACAAGGAGATGTACCTAGAAGAGCCCTCATCCCTCAGGAAGGCTGGACTAGGGTTGCAAGCAAGGCACTGATCCCTTATACACAGGAGGGCAGGCAGGCACTGTTCCTCACTCGATGCTGTATCTAGCTCCAGGCAGGCGGTAGGGGACAGACTGCTGATTGCCTTTGCTTCTTGCTCAAAGTTTCACAGAATTTCTCACTTGCAGCCATTTCTCCAGCATGTGAGGGAGTGGGGGTTTGTTTCCTCTCTAAGCTTGTTGCAGATAATACAAACACAGTCTGCTTCCCTGCATCCAGGGTCCAGATCCTTGTTAGATGCAAATCCCCACAATTATAAATCTGCACACAGCACCAGTTGTGGTAGCATTAGGTTAATCCAGCCTCCAGTGCTTTGCAGTCCTCTGCCCACAAGTCCCATGGGCATCAAGAGCCACGTCGCTAAGTAGCTGTTTTGTCTCACACAAAGAAAAAAAGCTTCTGCAGCTGTAGCAATCTTTAAGCCTATTTTACTTGCAGAAATTAGGGGATAATAGATGACCTATTTCCCTGGAAATAAACCTGGCATTTTCTCAGCTGCTGCACAAGTATCTGAGAGCTTGGTGTCCTGTGTACTGTGCTTACCCTCCTACCCCCCTCCCAAGAGAAATAGAGCTTAGCAGAGCTCCAAAAAATACCAGCTGTCAGATAATTCAGAGTAAAGCATCTACCCACGTTTCCCTGTCCCTTTTCTGACAGCAGATATATTTATCTCTAAAGCAATAGAGAAGGAGTGGGCAGCTGTTCTGTGCCCTGCCCCAGAGATGGTATTTAGCTGCACCTCTTGAAGCTGCACAGAAACACCAAGGAGTAGGGGAGGAGAGCTTCCAGGGTTCACAGCATGCGTGGGGCATCAGATCTCATGCTTCAGCACTTACCAGAGAGCTGAGGGCCTGGCTGCGGCATTAGGGGCTATGTCCACCAGGGCGAGGCTTCTACAGACACATCCCTACAAAAGGCATTTTTATAGGCAAGAGAACAACTTAAACACAGGAGGAGCCCACAGGAGGCCCACAGTCACCCTGGCAGGTACAGCAATGAGGGCAAAAGGAAGCAGCAAAAACACAGGAAAGGAAAGAAAAATAAGCCAGCAAAGGAGGGAGGAAGGGCTCTGGCACAGGACAGGAGGCAGGACGGTTTAAGCACATTCAGCCAGGAGCAGTCCAGTCTGGAGAATCAATTACGGGAAGATAATTCGTCTGCTTGATTAAAGCCTCCTTGGGGTATTGGCTTGCTGCTGGGGAGAGCAGCAGAAGGTACCTGCTCTGGTCAGAGCACGATCCATGACTTATTACTGCAGTCCCTGCAGAGCAGTCAACAGGAGGGGAGGCTTAACAGAGAAAGACAGGCAAGCACATTGCTTTTGTCCTTCTGACATTTCCCCTCACTTATCACTATTTGCACTCAGAGCCAAGTCACTCAAAAGGGGACCCCAAGAGCCATTAAAACTTACCCCCTGTTAAGAAAGCTGCTGTTGCTGACACAGCAGGAAAAATGGCACCTGAGTCCTGAGGCCCAGCACAGGGAGCGGTGCCGGCTCAGATATGCCCTCCAGTGGTCCCCACTCCACTCTGGTTCCCATCCCAAACTGGGAGCTCTAAAGCTTGTTCCTTGTGGCTTTACAATAGGAAGGTCAGAGGCGGCTTTGCACAGACTCAGATAAGGCTTGGGGCCAGGGGTGTGTGTTCCTATGTTTACGTCTGCTTTCTGCCCCCCGCCCAGGATCTGCCATGGGTTCACAGCACCAGGGAAGAGAATTTCCAGGAGCCACAGGCTGTGTTTGCACAAAACAGACACTGAAGTTATTGCTTCTATGCTTGTTTATCCTGTATCCCCTCACACCCCCAACAAAGTCTTACTCTAAACCAATACAGGCCAGAGAAGGCTTGTCTCATCTCTTGTACCAGCCCCCACTGGATTTAGGGGACTTTTTCCCCTATGCGGTCAGGTTTACGCTCAAGATTCATTTCTCCCTGCTTAATCTGACCAATATGAATGCACACGTCCACTGTGCATTTGATGCTTGGTTTTGCTAGGACAACAAGTACTCCATATCAAACACCCAGATAAAACATCCAGCACAGCTAAAGGGATAATGTGCTAGGGGAGACCTGAGACTCTTCCAGCTTTGAGACCAGTCCCTAATAGATTTTATGCAAGTTGAACCCTCTTTTGTGGTAGATTGTGCTACACCACTGCCAGTGGTTGGTGACAAACTATACAAAAAAAAGCACACATTGTTTTTCCAGGAGAGTGGAAGAAATACAGCTCCCAGGCAGCCTGGGCTGATGGCAAGCATCCCTTGGATTACCAGGAGAAGGGAGGCTAGCCCAGTGCCATCCCAAATACAGCATGCACAGTTCACAACTCCTAATTGCAGCAGCTAGGAGAATGCACTGCTGCTACAAGCAATGTGGTTGATTAATTATTCACAATCCTGTCTCTGGGGCCCCGATATTGGAGAGAATCTTCAAGTGAAGGCCCTTTGGAGAACTCACTTGTGTGCTTTCAGACCAATTATAATTGACCAGCACACCAGTCTCTGCTGTTTGACAGTACAGACAAGCACTGCTCCGCTTGCCTCTCCCGTGATCCACTAAGGAGTAGTCTGGGTCATATAAAGTATAAACATTTAGTAAGTAATACATAAGGCTCTTTTAAACCTTTATGTCTGGATATAAGTTAGTCCACGCTGTTATTACCTCTCTACCACGAGAGCTCATTAGCTCAAATGCATGCTTGCAGATACAACCTCAGCCTTGCACAGTGAATTCCCACAGGAAGCACAAGGACACATAGAAGTAGCCTGAACAAAGTGCTGCTAAACCCAGAGCAGGAATTTGTGGGCTTGAGAATTGACAGGGCAGGCCATGAGGTCTTTCTACCTCACGCTTCTACAAGGAAGCACAGCTACAGGTTTGCCAGTGTTGAATGTGCCCATGAAGGGCTGTTGCCTACACTGATGCACATTTATTCATTTGTGTTATCACATGCTCATAGGGGATTATGAAGGACTGAAATTTCCAGGATGCCATGAACTGCATATGTAAAGCAAAGCTATAGAGGCAGCGTCACATCCTCTCCACAACTGCAGAAGGGCCTGGCAACACTAAGGCTCATAGGGACATTCTCACCTGCCACGGGAGCTTCTGCGGTGCTGCAGCCTCCTCCAAGGAAATTGCATGTCCCCATGTACCCATTGGTCTCAGGGACTGGCTGTGCCACAGGTGTGCAGGACACTACAGAGAGCCAGATAGGAAGAGTGGGGACCTTCAAATTGGTGGTTAATTCTTAACCCACCCTGCTCCTCCCAAGCTTGACAAGGCACTTATAGACCCACTGAGCACATGATTAATGACACTAGTGGGGGTCCTACTAGGGCTCCCATATCCTTAAAGCTAGATGTGTCTGAAAGGACAGTAAGACCAATACCATTTACACCAAGGCATTAGGTTCTCATATGTTACACCAACACACATTTCTACTCAATCCCCACCAGCTCCTATAGCCCCACAGCTCCCACTTCTCACAGCATTCTTACAAGCCCACAGTTCGTTATAAAACTCCACATACCCAACATACCCCATAGCACAGCTTTGCCTGCTGTACAGCTTGCCTTCCTCCTCCTCCTCACTCCACTTGCCAGGCAGAGAGCAAAAGAAATGTCTGAAACCATCTCTCTAGATTTATTTTAGCACCTTTATGCCCTCCCTGCCTCCTCACAGCTGCAGCAGATCCCAGATGATCTGCTGACCACAGAGACCCAAATAGGCAGCCACTGGTGCTGCTTACTGACTAAGTGCTGCTTGGGAAGGCTTTTAAAGGGACATGCAGTAAATCCACTCCTGGAGTGCAGTTTGCCTATAGATTGTTTTCCTGATAAGATATCTGTTTCTCAGCCTTTTAACACTGCTGTCCTCTGCGGTAGCCCTGCAGCACAGTCTATTTGCAACAGACCTTGGCATTCACCTGGAAAGGTGGCACACAAACAGCCCACACACAGTGTGACTTAGAAAGTTTGCTTGCCTTGGTTATTTTTGCTTTCCATGCAGGAGCATCTGTACATGCATATACAGACAAACCCTTTGAAATGTGCTAGTGGAAGATACTTTAGCATCCTATGTTTAGCCAGTTCTGGCAAAGTTTATGTGTAAGTGCAGAGAATATATGGGAAAGCCCCAAAACACAGTCTGCCCAGAGGCATCGTGCAAACCTTGTGCTTGTTTCCCACATGAGCTCCATTAACCCTTTGCTTAACGTTCTCCCCTGTCCCAAGTGATCTGTCACTTGGATGAGAGGCAGATGAGCGTGGTCCCCTTAATAATCTCTCTCTCTCCCCCTTTCCGTCATTAGCCTGAAGACCAGCCTGCAGAAGAAGGTGAGCCAGGACTCCGTGGATTTGTCAGGGATCCCTCTGACCATGCGGGATGTCCACCGCATGGCCTACTACCTGCAGAACAACGGGGACCACCTCACCTCTGTGGACCTGAGCTTCACCGAGCTGAATGACGACATGGTACGCCTGCTGCTGCCCTTCCTCTGGGCACTACCCAAGCTCACTCACCTTTCCCTCAATGGCAACCGACTGACGCGGGCGACCATGAAGGAGCTGACTGACACCATGAAGGACATGAACAAGTTCCCTTGCCTGGCCTGGGTTGACCTCGGCAACAACGTGGACGTCTCCTCCATGCCGCAGCCATTGCTCGTGGGCCTGCGCAAGCGCCTCAGCCAGCAGACCACGCTGCCTACCATCTATGAGGCGCTTGACTGCGACTCAGAGATCTCCAGCGGGCATGAGGGCAGCCAGCCAGAGGACGAAGCAGCAGGAAGCACCCCGTCACGTGCTTTCTCTCAGCAGGGCTGTGAGAGGTGACTGGACAACAGGCCAGCACTGGCACACTGAAGCCACCCCAAGGAGAAGTCTTGAGTACAAACATCAAGCAGGGGGCCAGCTTTACTGGCTTCCTTTGGCTCTTTTCTCTTGCCTTCCCTGACATCTCCCCCCCACCTGCTGTGAGACAAAAGCCTGTCGTCCCCCCACAACGTGCTCCGCTCCCTCCCCTCACTGCCAAACCCATCGCCCACATTCCAGAGAGGAACCGGTGACTTACAGTGAACCTGGTCCCCAGGCAGGGTCTCACTGGAAGACGGGAAAAGACCTGTCGGAGTCAAGAATATCCTCCAGCAGCCATTGGGTTGAGGGAAAGGGTTGGGGGGGAACCTAAAACAGAAACAGGCTTGTAGTTTACTTCCTTTCTTCCTTTTCCTATGCACCTTGGAAACCTTGGGACCTGCAGCCTTGAGTGTGAAAGGAGGTACCCCAAGAGCCTAGCTGCTGTGGAGCTTAGTTGAAGGGCTCAGAGGCCAGAGCTGGAGCCCGGCAGTGTGTCTCCCTCTTGTGTCTGGCTCCTTTTGTTTTGTTTTTTTCCTATTGTGTGTTTTGTATTAACATCTGAACAAAGGGACTTGGTCAGAGACCATTGGATTGCATAGGCTGGGGCGGACACATGGCTTGGAACTGCAGCATCAGGATATTTGCTGTGTGACCGGGGTGAGAGGGAGGGGAAGGAGGTATGTGTTGGTGGGAGCATGGGGGATGGGATAAGTTGGGATGGGATGGGAGGAGGGGGGAGGAGAGGGAGGGGGAACAGTCTTGTGGATTAGCAGGATTGGTTTCAAAAACTGTGCTTTTGTACTAAAATTACATGTTCCAAGTGATATTGAGGAAAAGCAGACACCTAAGCGCGTAACTGTGGCACTAGAGGAGCAAGCAGTGAACGTGCCAGAGGTGGGCGCTTCTCAAACTAAAGCGCAAAGCTTTGGCTCCTCATGGCATATTGCATACCCTATAATACAGACATGACGTGAGCAGCTGCATCGCCATTTCCAATGCTGTCCAAAAACAAAATCACTGATGCAATATTCTAGTGTTTGCCACATTGCTCATGCTCTATGTAAACATAATAAACAGTTCTCTTGGACATGAGCGTGAAGCACTACGGAGTCTGAGTGTGTGGGTTGTTCACAAATCAAGCCAGCAGCCCAGACGCTGCAAGAACGTGGACCAGTAGTCCACACGCAGTGCCTGAGCAGAGCAGGAGAGGATCAGCCGGTACCATTCACATTGGTGAGAGTGGTTCATTCCTCTAAGGAAAGTGAAACATGGATGTTCATTTGTGGTAGGCTGCCGCCCTTCCTGTTGCAAGTTGCATCAATATTTTGTTGCAATATTTGCATCAATTATTTGTATCAATAAACTGATCAGACTTTAGCTGATAAGTCAAGTCCTCTCCATTATCTGTCCCCACAGGAATTCAGAGAGCAGATATGTTTTTGAAAGAGTTAAAAGTTAAAGAAATCAGGCATATTAAAAAACGCATATAAATCCTGGCCCTCCTAAATTAACAATGGTAACTTTGCCTTCCTCTGCTGATTCTCTCTGATTCTGGGAGTCTCAACACATATAAGCAACTCTCATATACTAACCCACACAAATCCATATGAAATAGATACACATTTTATGCTCCTTGCTGATTTTACAAGACATTGCAAGAAGCAAATTGGTGATATTTATCAAGTGATTTATCCCTTTGGACCAAGAGTGTGAGGGCACTGGAAGGTATCGGTGTCTCTGATCAACTGCCAAAAGCCCCAAATAAATCCAGTCCCCTGAGGACGAAAGCTGGATTTAGAGACACTGTGCTGAGTATGACAACCTGACACTGTAAATGCTGGACCCAGTCCTGTTCGTGCTCCAGTCACTGGAGCAGGACCTTGTAACCTTCATGTTGTTAACTTGCAAACAGAAGTGGTGTAAAGTCTCTGTCCTGCTGACCAGAAAGAGCAGAAGATACAACAAGGTAAAACAAGTATAGCTAGGGCCAGGTGCTAGCTGCCCCATCCTAGTGGAGGTGGAAGAGAAAAGGCCCTGCCACAGCCAGAATATGGTGTTTGGCCAGGAAGATGGGGAACAGGGAGTGCAAATGTAGCCAGGCCCCAGAATAACCCAAGGTGGGAAGGGAGCATGTGCTCCCCAGCACAGCTGTCACCCAAACACACTTTTTAACCCTTCTAGTGAATCTGGAGAAGTGGAGTAATTTCTATGGCAAAGACTGTATTTGGGGAGCATGAGATTCTTTTGCAAAAGGCAAAACGGAGCTGCTCAAGTGGCCATTCCCATTACTGGGGGAAGGCCGTGCTGCTTCCAGAGGTCACCGCCTGCCTTTCTTCTCACAACTCATTTTTTCCCTTCTCAGTGTGGTATCTGTTTCCTTCCCTGCTGTGGAAGAGATGGTATTAATTTTTTCTTTTTCTTCTTTTCCTTCCAAAATACCTTTCAGCAAAAATGAAAAGCATTTCAAATGCCAGCAAGATCTGCTTAAACTCTTGCAGTCTAAGCAGAGCAGCACCCTGTGCCAAGAAGAAAACTCGAGCATGAAGCATTTAAATGAAGGCTTGGAGCCGCCTGGTGAGTCAGTGGCATATCTAGAAAAAGGGAGCAGGAGTGCTGAGCATTCGGTCTTTGGCTCTGAGCACTGTCTCTGTGAGGCTCTGCATCAAGGCATCTTCACAGCCTTTCCATAACAGTGGCACCCCCCGAAATGAAGCAAGACCCACAGTGTGCAGCCCACCACTGATGCAGCAATTCCCTGCAGAGTCCCTGGCCCAGCGCCAGGAAGGATCTGTGGAACCTGTTTCCAGCCCTGCTGAAAGTTGTGGTTTTGGTCTGAGCTGTGCTAATCAGCAGGATGGAGATGAGACATTAGCCCCTTGCAAGGGAATTCTGTGCTGATAGCTAGCAATGCCTGGCTGCCAGCTGGAGATAAAGCATGGCTTAAAACAGACTAGTTCAGCTGAGCAGCTGTGGGATCTGTGTTTATTCCTCCATACTTGGTTGCTTTGCCATAGAAATCTCCCCATGGAGAACTGGTTCTGAATAAATACATGCAAATACAAATTATGAAGTCTTGGCCTAGGAAACTGCCACTGCTTCTTGGATGAACTCCGATGGGCTGCAACTTAGCTGTGAAGAAACTATCACACCACACCCAGCTGTTCCCTGCCAGCTCCTGACTGCACTGACAGGTGAAGGACTCTGCAGGAGCACAGTGGTGTGCATCCAGCTCCAGACCTGTGAAGTGCCCCAGTGCCCCCCTACAGATGAGATACATGCTCAAAGAGCAGGCCTGGTGGCCCCAAATCCAGAGGAGGCTATTTTCATAAAAGCTGAGTTCACAAATCAGAGAGGATGACACAACCCAAATGAGCTTTTCCTTGCACTGAATGGGAAAGCTCAGGGCTCTCAAAGGGGATTAAAGGGATGAGCTGCTAATTCAGGTCTCCCCACTGATACCCAGAGGGACCAGCTTTCTTACGCTCCTAAATTAGGGGCTGCCTGCCCTGCAGTGAGCTTCTGTCTCCTGCTAGATAACACAGCAGGAGAGATGGATCCCTGTCATACTCAATACTCTCCTCAATACCATACTTGCTGGTGCAGGGCTGTAACATCAGCTACTTAAAGCAGCACACACACTAGGCTATCTCCACCGTTTGCAGTTTCCCAGCCTCCTTCCCTCCCTCCCTCCCCATGCAGGATGCAGATGGTCAGCCTGTGATGGGACCTATGTCATGTAGCAGAGAGGAAGCTGCAGCTGCACAGGGTGGTATCACAGCCCCTTACCCACACCTGACCTCTCACCAGGTGATCAGTCTCACAATAGGTGTCAAAGTGAGATGTTTAAGCACACCTTTCAAAAGCAGTCTTCTGGAAGGAGAGGTCTTTGGGTGCAAAGCCATACCACACCTCCCCACTATCTTATTTTTCCCAGGCTTTATAAAATACCCCCCAGAAAACCCTCCTCCTCCTGCAGTTGCTTGGTCCCTTTTCAGATCTACCATCACATAGTGGCAGGGCATGAGACAGTGAACTCCCATCTCCACAGCTTTCTGCCTCGCACAGTACACCCTCTTGCATGCTCCCAGGGACACCTGCAACATCTCACTTGAAAACACTGGTGAGCACTGTCAGCTGGGGTTCTGCATGGGGTCAGGCAGACAGCAGAGAGCTCTAGCAGAGCCAGCTGGCAAAGCCCAAGCATAGGGAGGTGCACACATGTGGGGTTGCTGAGCAGCACCACAGGTAATGAAGCCATTGGTGCCAGATAGCAGAGGGAAGAAGGAACAGGCCATACCTTTTCAGTTACTCAAACAGAAATGCACTTGTTCCCTCTCCACCTAACTGAACAATGCCTTCCTCACTCTTCCATCCTTTATTTTACCTCAGCCTCTGACCACAAAATCCAGGATAACCATCTTAGCGTGCTCCAGGTAGCAATATGCTTAGCACAGAGGCCACCACAAGCCTCCCTCATTCCTGTGACTCTGTCTAAATAACTGGTAATCATTTTGTTGAGGCAAGGATGCAAAAAGCAGCTGGAAGCACAGGCTTGTCTGATCTATTTTTATTTCACACACTTCAAAACCCTTCAAGGCCCTTCTCTTCTGCACTGCCAAGGCTCTTTTTGAAACTTGTAACTCTTTCCTCATCATGAGCACTTGGAAGATAAAGGAGTTTGCACTGTTTGGGGCAGGCTGACAGGCTCCTTAGTGGACAGCTGCTGACAAAGATGCCAAAATATAAATTGTTTCATCTTAAGAAAGCAAACGAGAGAGGATTAAACATTTGCCTTTAGAGATCACTCTGTCCACCACCAGATGACATTTGTTTCACAGCTCAGAAGAGTCAATGGTGTGTCTCAATACGAACTCTTATCACTACACTATCTTGACAGCACAGCAGGTACAGCAGCCTTCAAGGGCAGCTGGCAGAAAGCCCAGCCACCCCAGCTCCGAGCAGTTGGGGACGATTATCAATGTGCCGGAGTTTATTCAGATCGGTATCTG